TCAAAAGGTGAGGTGAGGTGAGGTGAGGGCAGTGGTTTTTTTTTTATTTTTTTTCATTGGATTAGATAATACTCGACTTACGAAGCTGTTTTCTGAGGTTACGCCATAGATGACCGTCGAGTTTATTGTTTAGTAGGGAAAATTCTTTTGTACCAATGAGGGTAGAGTTTTTTATATAGTTTGATCACACAACATTTGGATGGCTTATGAAATTGTGTTCCTACGCTAGGTGATAGATCATCGTAGAGTTTATTGCTTAATAGTGAAAATTTCGTTTTTGCTGAAGGGGGCGGAGTTTTTTTTTTCGGTTGGATTACACATCTCAATGATCTTAAAGGTGAAAAACTGGTAAGGGCAGTAGGATCGAACCTTGTAAGAGTATATAAGTTAGATTATTGATTGTCTTGATGTGTTTTTTTGGTTTGAATTTATTATATTTTATGAATGGGGGTAATTATGTCGTGATTCGAGTCGATCAATTTGTTGGATACTTGGATTTGGATTGTGAATTTTTACGGTTTAGTTTCACATGTGAGGTGTTGGTATATGTGTCCTAGAGACAATCATTTTAAGGACATATATATATATGATCACATTAATAATTATAATGGATTATAATTATGGTATTTGTAATTAATTAAATAATTGTTTGATTGTTTGCAATTTATTAATTAATTGCTCCCTTGAGTTAATACTGTCATTAACAAAGTGAGATGTAAATTGATAGAGTATAACTCTTAAAATTGCCTAAATCGATGATCATTAAGAAAGGGATATTAATGATACGCGATAGATTGACATGTGGTCTGCATCACATTCTTGGAGAATATAGTATGTCTCACTGCTATGAATAATTGTTATTCATGCTGGACACATGGATACTTTGGAGAGTATTGTTATTCATGTGGTCTGCATCACATTCTTGGAGAATATAGTATGTCTCACTGCTATGAATAATTGTTATTCATGCTGGACACATGGATACTTTGGAGAGTATTGACATACCCTACCGATAAACCATTTGTTTATGTGTCTATGAGAGTATCGGTGTGTGGAATGGTGTAATAGTCCTTTGACTTGAGGTCAATACGCAATTCATGTATAGAGTGATTTACTTAGACCTAGTCCAAAGCTTACGCCCTTATGGGTAGATACGGGCTTGTGTTGGGTTGGTCACGATATATATGGAATTGGTAGTTGAGCCAAGATATGATTCATTCCTCGAATATAGTTTCGAGAGAACACTCGTTTTCTCTATATTGGGTTGATAAAGTCATTGGCCAATGCACGTGATTATATTTGAAATAGTGTTCAAATATAATTTATAAAATCAACCAGTGAGATGAGATAAAATGATTAAGCTGTTTGGATAGACACACATTCAAGTCCTAAGCTTAATCGAGTGGTTCGTGAATGAAGGGACCGTATCACTATTGAATTCTACACCAAAGGTTTGTTTGCTTGTCCATGTAAACGTACTTCATATTTTGAGTTCGTCTTTCGACGCAGTCTAGGAGTTTCGTAAGGATCATAAATTAGATTTATGTCAATATATGAAGGCCTATAGGGTCACACAATATACAATCAGTTTTCCAACTAAGAGTGAATCGAGAGTATTAAATATTCAATTAGATTGGAATATTTATTAATGAGTAATGAGATTATTTTCTATTTGATAGAAAATATTTAATTAAGTTAAATTAGATTTATACTTAATTAGTAATGAGATAATTTTCTATTTGATAGAAAATATTTAATTAAGTTAAATTAGATTTATATTTAACTAAAATATTAATTGGATTAGGTCTAATTGCCTATTGGACTGTAGGGTATCCTAAGGCCCATATAATTAGGTTTTGACCTAATTATAAATATCTCATTATCTCTTCATAATAATTAATCTTGGATCGATAAGAGAGACTTTGAGAGATCCCAAACATCTTAGAGATTAGAGATCAACAAAAGACAGAACACTCTCTAGCTTTCCGGATCGAGGATTCCTAGTTTCTTCACCGGAAGGGATTCATTGGCGTTAGATCGTGCATCGAGAAACTGGATTGCGTGGATACCATAGACGAGGACAAACGACGAAAAGCTGTAAGTTTTCGTGTATCATTCACGCGATCTAGGATCATATCGATTAGGTATAGCCGGATCTTCGTTGTTGGTAAGAAAATTTTAAAATTCCGCTGCGCGTACGCTGGGTTCGTACGTCTACAATCCAACAGCACAAGAAAATTTGAGAGATACATATATAAGATCATATTTTAAGATAATTTGATCGTGTGTGAAATTGCAATAAGTTGATCAAGTCGGTAAATGCCCACGAGATATTACTTAGATACTAGAGAGTCCAACTAATCCACTCATTGCATATTAATCTCTGATAACACATGAAACCCATCATACAAAGCTCTTATATATAATAACTAGAAGGCCGACGCTGTGCACAGCACAGCCGGCCCAATTTAGGTGAATGTATGAATGCCATTATGAATTTTTAACATTTGGATTTTGTACTACACAACATTCATACGAACATGGATTATGTACCCGTGTTCACTAAAATATGTTCAAGTGCTATTAGTTATAATACACATGAGCAAAATAAGGTTGTAGCAGCAGAATATGCATGGTGCATGACTATTTATGTGATCAAGTAAAAAGATGAATGATTTCACCTCTTTCCTATATATGTCCATAAAGAGGCCATTCATTGTGAATTTGGTTTCAAGGAGTGACATAATTATGCAACTTTGACCACATAAAATCAATGAGAAGCTTACTTTGATTCCCTCGCTCAAAGAAGAAAAACAGAATTAACCAGAGTGAATTGATTTGAACCTCATCTAAAGAGATTCAGCGTAATGAAGATTGAAATGATTGCTAACTAATCAACAAATAAACATCAATATACTGACACCGATTGATATTTATTAATAGCTGAAGGATATGGTTGGCTGGTGAAGCATATGCGCACAGATGAGTTAACACTTCAAAAGTTTATAACCTGTCTTGAATGCATGACTGTTATCACTATCAATTATCAAAAAGAGAGGCTTTCTGGTGAAAAGAATTATATCACCAGGGTAGAGGATATTTGAACATGCAACAGAAGAATTGCACTGTTAGCTAACATTAGAGAGCAAAACCAAGACTACATTGTAACAAGATATCTCATAGCACAATAAGAATACAGTAAATACATTTTTGTAATCTTACCTCTACTTCTGCATGGGCCTAATGACAAATGATTCTCAAAATATTGATTTAGACCTCCTTATTATTAATATGATCTTCAGTAAAACCATTCCACAGTTCATGATGGTCATTAACAAGGGCACATGTCAAAGTGTATTTTCTCGACATTCCAGAGTTCTCAGCTTGTGAAGTACTACAATGACCAAAAATCCCTGCATCTACAACATGATGTCAGTTGGCATGCTAACACCCAATCTTAGATGGAACAAATTTTCAAATGAAAGGCAAACCTGAAGTAGACAAATATATTAGCATAACACTATCTGGTGGGCGCTCCTCGCAAATTGTTGCCCATCAGTCGTAAAAGCACAATAAGGGAAAATATAGTTTGTTAAAACTTCAATTAAATGCGACTCTGTAAGAAAATCGTCTATTTTCTAAAACGTCGTAATATGCCTTCAAACTTCAGACCAAGTCATCAAGCCCAAATTCATTCATGGAAACATGTAAACAACCATGTTAAGTTCTGGCTCTCACCGCTAACTAATGTGTTACGGATGGATGATAGAGAATAGCTTTTTTAAGCTTTGGAGGTAAATTTGGGTCTAACATTTCTGCAATCAGATTTCATGCGTATCAATACCGAAGTAGTCGAATGATCAGCCAGTATGTCATTCTTTCTCGACTCGACAGAAAGATTCGATTAGAAAGATCCACAAGGTTCCCATTCCAAACGTTACAGCATCCTAAAAGTGTCTTGAGTTCCGCAAATTTCACCTGAAATAGCATATAGAGCATTGTTGAAAGTAAGTTTTTGCTTCAACAGAATATATTAACTCCCAAAGTCTTAAAAATACGAAAATAGAGCAGAAATCTATATTGTTGGTTATATAGTTTTAGCAACGAAGTTCATTAAAGTTCAGAGTGACATGTCTAATTACAAAAACTAAGATAAAACAAAGGTATAGAATGTCATAAGAATAAAATCCAGCTCCATGTCTCTGATCATACGAGGGAAATCCCAAGATGCATATACATGGGCAAGTTGGTTCAGTATGCAACAAATGACAAACTTGTAACATTGGGTACAACCAAATTTTCTCTAGTGGAATTAGAATCACCTAAGCTGTACATACTTAAAAATATCTGTACTCATCTACAGCTGTTTGCCTTGCGGATCACGTAAGGCCAGCGAAACATAGTATGGATCTTGTTGGTGTTACCTCCTAGCTAATAAGTTTGCTCTCTTTTTCTTTTTCTTTTTTCTTTTTCTTTTTCTTTTTCTTGTCAAGCTTCAAAACTAACTTAAAAGAAACGGACACGTATACATAGTGTTCAAGACAAATTTGTAATATAGTTTAATTCATCTCAACATAATTTACTGGAAAGCATGAAGATGAACAGAATCACAACCTAAATGTAATCTTCAAGAACGCAATAAAAGAGAATTTCTCCTCGATATAATGTAAAATAGTTGAGTACACCTCCTGCAGTTCAGAGGTCCTAAATGTGGACCAATAAATCAAGAATTTTCTGTTTTTTGAATCACAATTGGGTTAATTTGTCTGAATGGAATTAGCTTAGTTTTTCAAATTTTGATTTCATTAATTAAACAATGTTATTTTATGCAATTGGTGGAAAAATGTAAAAGCACAGTCAAAACATGCAACGGAGATGCTTAAACTCAGATTAAAAAATGTTCAAGAAACGATTTCCCAAAATCTAAAACTCACAGCAACGGATTGCAGGCACAATAGGCTCTATCTTCTGCTCATCGAGCAGGCCCTTGTACACCAAATTCTTCTCATCTTCATCCTTCCTCGTGTGCAGCCGGTAGTTATCCAGCGACTCCAGAAACATGTACAAAGTCGAGTAAGGGCATTAGACGTAAGAAACCTAAAATTTAACCTAAATTCGAAAAGTATTAAAACTAAAATAATAAAGGAAGCTTACCTAAGTCGAGTAATCTGCTCATCTTGAGTCCATACACTCCGTGCCATCTAGCTTTGCTCCATCGACCCATAAGTGTTGAAATTGCATCGTCGTTGAGGCTATGGCTCTCAAACCAGGCGTTAACGGAAAAATTAAGTCCCGAATCGGCAGAAACGCAATAAAAGTTGAATAGATTCGCATAGGAAATAAGAATTGTAGATTTAATTTTGGAGGCTCCAAACATCGGCGGACGGAAAATCAAACAAAAAAATTGAAGAGATTTGCATAGGAAAAGAAATGGTAGATTCAAATTCAAATGGAAGAAAAAATGGGGAAGAAATTTGTCTGGGAGAATGAACACGCAGGCCGTATGGTTGGAGAAGTATCAGGCCAAAACAACGTCGTTTTTATTTCGGGCGACGTGGCTTAATATTAAGAGGCGGGACACGTGTCAAAAGCTGAAGGCAACACCTTCTTTTTATAGATAAGAGAAGAGATATAATATAAACCGATTTACAAAGAGAGAAAAAATTCACTTGCAATTTGCAAAGAATCTAAAAACCTACACTCCCAACTTTCTGTTCAGTTTTTAGGTTTAAACAAAGTTCACTCGAGCATAACTTTTTGACTCGTTTATTAAGAAGTCGAGCTGATTCGTTTATGAAAGGAGCATGAATTCAAAGGGAAGCTGCTCAGCACGAATTGCAATAGTGTTAATCGAAGTTTCACGAAGACTTCTTTGTTCTTTTGAGTTGATTTGTTCTGTTCATGGATAAATCATGTTGCCGTCCACACTCGAAAAACGCCGGAAAAAAAGCCATAAATTTCCTACGTGGATTTTCTTGAGTAGAACCGTTCATTGAGTTCCACGTGCTAAAAATCTCCTCCTTTAATTATAAAATTTGTTTTTTTAAATTCAATTATTTATTCTTATCCTGAGTTGGTACTTGGTACGAGCTTGCTCAGTTAATTTCTGGACGAAAAAAAAGGAAAAGAAAATAAAAATGGCGGCCGCCATGGCCGTTCCTTCACCAAATTCTTCTTCTTCCTTAGCTCATCGCGACCTGACATGCAGTTTCCTCAGTGGCTCACCGGTGAGGGTCCTCTGCGTTGACGTGAAATCCATGAGAAGAAAGGACAAAAAAGGAGTAGGTCTTGTGGTTGCCGCCGCCGCCGCAGGCGGCGAAGCCACCGGCGTAGGAAGGTTTTATTTCAACTTCACTGGATTTCCGTTTCCCCTCGGTCCTTTCCTAAATCGCCGCACTATTAGATACGAGGTTAGTACTTCGATTCAGGTCATGATATTTTAGGTAATATTAATTGTTCACTTGAAGCTCAATTTTCACTAATAAATAGCAGTTGATGAGACCCTATACATAATTTTGAATTTTGTTGCGTGGGAACTTGTGCATTTGAATTTTAAATCCTTGTTCAAGTTTTGGAGGATTCTTCAAAAAGTTGCAATCTTTGCAGTTAAATATGTATAATGGAGTATTATAGTACTGAATTCATTTGAACTTGGATAACAAAGTGGTGATAGATGACCTATTCATCATACATTTTAGCCTTTTACACCTATTACTATTTGTTCAAGAACATTTCATTTAAGTATGTTAGTACAAGATGAGGTGAAATTTAGCCTTGCTTAACTGCTTTAGTGACTGTTTAATTTAGCGTTGCACGTGCTTCCCCGTAAAATACCTCTGAAAAGGTCATGCTCCCTTTACTAAGAGTTTCTTATGATCTTGCCTCATGTTTATGTTCTTTTGTTGGAGTTTGTAACTGTTTATCTGTTTGAGTTCTAGGCTGTGAAAGACAGCATATGGCTGTTCGAACAAGAGCAAGCGCTAGGTTTCAGCAGTGTGTCGACAAACATCCGAATGACGGTTATCAAGCTCAAATCTGGAGGATTATGGGTTCATGCCCCTATTGCTCCTACCAAAGAGTGCATCCAGGTGATCAAAGTAGAAAAATTACAGCGCATATTTCATTAAAATTGAATAGTATGTGCAATTTACTTATATTGCTTATTAAGTGATTCGTGGCAAATATTTAGTGCAATTTACTTTTTGCAGCTTGTGAAAGAACTAGGCGCTCCTGTGGAGTATATAATCCTACCCACGTTTGCTTACGAGCATAAAATATTTGTCGGACCCTTTTCAAGAAAGTTCCCGAAAGCTCGGGTGTGGGTTGCACCTCGGCAGTGGAGTTGGCCCCTGAACTTACCCCTCCAATTTTTCGGGATTTTTCGAGCCAAAACATTGAAAGATGAGGACTCATTAGCCCCATGGGCTGATGAAATCGAACAGAAAGTCTTGAGCTCTCCTGAAGTTGGTAATCCATTGATTACTTTTTTTTTTCTTTTTTTTTTTTCTGTTTCTGAACACTCATTTGTTGTTTGACAATTTGAATATTCTAAATATGTTCATTTCCCCTTTTCTTTAACGATTAAGGAATCGGACCATATGTTGAGGTGGCATTTTATCATAAGCGAACGAGGACTCTACTCGTAACAGATGCAGTGATATATGTCCCGAGGCAGCCACCCGAGTGTATTAGCAAAGAATCTTTATTATCGTCTGCTAAGAATGGTTTGGCCGTAAAAATTCTTAGTAAAGGGAAAAAAGTCCCTGAGGAACCAGTTGTTGACAACAAACTGAACAGACAAAAGGGTAATGTAATGCCCTTCTACTCCGAAAACCTCTTTTATTATTATTACTATTAAGTTGAGTGTTATCCATTTTTATTCAATGAGTGTAGGATGGGAAAGAATGGTCCTTCAGATTTTGTTCCTTGGCCCCTCGAATCTGTTGGAACCAAACGCGAGTTTTTCTCAGATGTCACAGAAGCTGATAGTCTCGCCCATTGTGAAGACACTTGTTTTCAGCAAAGTTCCTGAAAAGGCAAGTTTTGATCCATTACTACATGAAGTTAATAAAAGGCAATGTTTACTAATTCAGCATGATAAATGGGACTTTGTCACTTTGTAGCATCATTGCAGCAAGTACTTACAAAATAGAAGTTAAAAGTTGAGATAGTTTAAAGAGAGTGTTGAAAATGCAGAAGTCAAAATGGTTATTTGTCTATGAAACTAAAACCAGAAGTTGATTCAAGAATCTAAAAGAAGCCATAATCAGATGCAGAAGTTGGTGTTTGAAAGCTGCACTATTAGCCACTTACTTGTTTAGTTACTTAATCCAGAAGCTGACTTCTACGACTGTGTTTGGTAAACCTAGCTGATAAGCTAGCTTAGCGCATCTCCAATGCTATGAGTGTGAAAGACCATTATTTTAACACATGTCAATTAGTGATTGTAATGTTAATCCACATTGGAATAATGTTAAAAGACTAGAAATTTGAATGAAACTAGTATCTCCAATGCATCAATTTGATAAGAAGTTAAATGTATAAGTGGACCAATTAAATAATTCATTGATATAAGAAAAATAAAAAATTAAAACAAATATATTGATGAGTCATCATGTTTAACATGGTGTTAGATATTAGAAAGTGTGCTCAACATTGTCTAACATTAAATGACATCTACCTCATCATGAAAGAGTTCATGACAAGATGCATTGGAGAAAAAATAGTAACACACTTTCAAAAGTAGATGATATGGATGACTTTTTATAATGTTAAAAGTCACATTAGAGATGCTCTTATAGCTTTTAAGTGAATTTCGATCTTATAGCTGATAGCTTATGACTTATGGTTGAAAAGTTAGCTTATATGATAAAAGTGTTTTATAAAATTAGCTGATGTAGCTAGCTAGTACAAAAAAATTAATGGACTTATTTGAAAAGCTTCCCAAGGAAGCTTATGAGATAAGCTCGAGCTTTTTAAAATAGTTCGTCCTACCAAACCAAGGTTATTTGAATACAGGAAGCCTATAATTTAACCAAATACAACTTAAACAATAATTATAGCTTTAATGTTAGGCTGCCGAAATACACTTCCAACGTACGTACATAATTTCATACTCAAAATGTACAACATTTGTGAAATTCCATTGGTATTATTATCCTAGTTGCATACTAATGTACCTTTCAATGTTTTTGCTGGTAAATTTTCAGGTTAAAGATTGGATCGACCGAATCACAAGGGATTGGAGGTTCAAGCGTATAATCCCTGCTCATTTCGCAGGCCCGATTAATGCAAACAGGTCCGATTTTTTGGCCGCATTCGCATTTCTCGATGATCTTCTTGGCAAAAAATACATTACGGGCCCTTCTTTTTCCCTACTTTTCGCATCACTATTGGGAAAGACCGCCAGCTATTTCCCACCCGACGATATGAGAACCCTTTCGTCTCTCGATGAGTTCTTGGTTTCGGTTGGAGCTGTCAAGAAAACTGTCTCGGGCCGTAAAAAATGATGGAGCATAAACATGTGGTAAATTTTTTTGTACATAGCTATGTATCTATATACAGTTGTTTTTTTCTTTTCTTGGAAAAAAAAATTAATAATATGGTTTTGTTGAAATAGATGCATAAGCCGACAGATTTTAGCCATTCAAATGAACAAACAATGTACTGGGAAATTGAATTGGCATTGTTGCACCATTGATATTATAAATTTTGTAGGTAATTCCATAGTTTTTTCAACCCGTGTCCGGCCCGATGGGTCGACCCAACAATAGACTAGTTAAATAAATTCCCCAATAGTCAATATTATGGGAATCTGTGTATGTAATACAATGTATTTCATTAGGCGTGCTATGAAATGTCATATTTTTTATTTATATTACTTTTTAAAGTGTAATGTATTTTAATGAAAGTTGGATATTTATATTTAGAAAAGAAAAAAAACGTGTCAGCATAACGGTTAATACATCTAACAATAAAACTATAGTAAGTAAAAAGGCACATGGTACTTATAAGATATAAACAAGTCGAGTCGACTTCTGATTTGAAATCTTTGTTTATCAGTTTCTAACATTTATAACTAAACTTCAAAAATAGTTTTTTCTCAATCCCAACAAAGAATGGACATTGTCAGAGACCAATCAAGTGACCTATAGTTAAATTAGCTAATATTTTTTATATGTCAATTCAGATTTATTTGGTTTATTGGTTGGCATGATTAGGTGCTAGATATTTTAGCATTTCACTTAAAAGACTGATATAGATTATATTTGGTCTATATAAATCTTTATTGTGAAAAGTTTATTGTTAGAATTCACTTATCTAAATTTCAGTATCAAAACAAAATCTCAATAAATTGATGTAATAACATTCTTATCTAAATTTCAGTATCCCCAGATAAATGTGGGGATACCTCTAGCTAGAGAAAGAAAAAAGAAAAAAAAAATCTCAGTATCAAAACAAAATCTCAATAAATTGATGCAATAACATTTTATGAGTAATTAATTGCTTGCACTTTCAATCAAGATTTTGATCATTCCTCCCCCATCACGCTTTTATCTCTAGTTAGGGTACAATACTTGTGTGGTGTTGATTAAAAATAATATTTTAATAAATAAATAAATAAATAAAATTAAAAGTTTTTTATTTTAAATTTGTAAAGATTTCTTAAAAATTGTAATATTATTTTTTTAGTTTTTTACTTATCAACACACACACACACAATATGTATGTCAAATTGAATTTCGTCAAAAAATTAATTTGATATATTAAATATGAAAAGCTGATAACAAAGTAAAAAGTTATCAAATTTTAAAATATATTTATAATTTAAGGTGACTAAGTTTTTTTTTATATAATTTTAAAAGTTCTAATAGACAATGATAAAAGTTCAAATCTACATGATTACTTTGAACTACAAGAATTTGACATAGGATTATGAAGCACTAGTAGGAGTTTGACACATAGAATTACGAATGCGAAGCACCAGAGTCATTACACATAATATTATGAATTGTAAAATTAGAAGCACGGGAAGAATTTGACACAGAGAACTACGAATAAGAAGCACCAGAGTCCTACGCATAATATTACGAATTACTGAAAGTTGACATATATTGAGGAAAATATTTTTTAGCAAAAGATATTATTCATTGTGTGTATTTATAATCTCACCTTTGAAAACAACCTTTTTCTACTTTTTTATTTTATTTTTGAGTTAGGCAATTTTTTTTTATAAAAAGTAATAAAGAAAATCTTATTACATATCCCATGTGGACTAAAATTTCTTTGGAAAAAATAAAATTGATTTCTCCACATTATTATATACTGAAACTTCTCATACAACTGCAAGACTGAAGGGCGTTAATCCGAGAAAAGGTGGGCATTTTCTTCTTACCTTATGCTTCTTTGTTTCTTGAATACATGTCCGCGAAATTTCTAAGTCGTTCCTTACAACCTTTTTGTTTTTTGTTTTGCAATAAAACAGTAGAGAAGAAAAAGGGTTGTTCAGAAAGAAGGTAATTGGGGTATGCTTGTTCTTGGATTTTACTTCATCTCTCATAGACTTAACATTTTTTATTTATTTTTTTTGGGCAGTTTAAAAAAGATTTAAAGATAGCTTTTTTATGCATCTTTTTTCGGAAGTAGATGAGAATAATTGAGACTCTGTTATTAGTTTTCTGCGGATTTGCCTCTTTGATTTATAAGGCGTATGCATGGTTTTTCTTGTTTTTTTTGTTTGGGATTTGATTTGGTGTGTATTTGGAGTTCTGCCTTTAACATGGTTGGTGTGTCAAGATTATTTTTTCTTTGTTTTTCATTTTTCTTTGTTTATGCAGGAATTTGGTTTTCTTCCAATTTACTTTTTAACATTTCTAAAACTTTTATGGCTTATGAAAGAGAAGAATGCATAAACAGAAGCCAGAGTAAAGCTCACAGCTCAATGGGGAATTCGACCCCAAAATCGGCTTCTGTAGTTAATAAACGAGCCGTGGACCCACATTATCTTCGTTCATCCACTGGTTCTTGTCACGATTTCTGTAAGTACGGAAAAAACAAACATTCGTCTGAAGAGAAGGCAAGAAAACCTTTGCTCGACGATGTTTTGTGCAGATAGTCGAGAAAAAGAAAGAAAAAAATGCCGACAACAAGCCAAAAACGGACACCAAAATCCGCTCGCTCGATTTAAACTTGTCTCCCGACATCAGATTCGAGTTCGACACGCCAAAGCTGAAGACATCCTTTGATAAGAAAAAGGTTGTAAAAAAAGAGACTTCATCACCAGATACTAAAAAAATCCTCTCTCCTGATAGAATAAACTCCTTACAAAGACCCAAAAACTCCTCTGTTTTCAAAACTGGTTCCATGAATAAAAATGCTTCCTCTAGAAATAAGCCGATATTCAAAAAGCCCAAACCTTTAGATCCACCGGATTTTGTCAAGAGTGTGTGTTTTCCTTCTAAAAGCAACGAAAACCTGGTGAAAAATGTCTCGTCGGGTGATAACCGAACATCGACAGTTGAGACGTCGAGTTCCTCTCATGTAAAGTCAAAACCGGTCAAGGTTGTTAAACCGGCATTATCTTCTTCTGGCAATTTGGATCTTAAACATAGAAAGGGGTTAAAGAACACCGAATCTGGAAAGAAAGTCATCAAGAGGAGTTACAGCAATTCAATAAAAAATGGAAATGCAAATTCGGAGTCTCGTTTGAAGGACATAAATAGAACGAGAAGAGTTGTTAATGAGAATGTCTGAGAAAATCCTTCACGTTATCGAGTCAAAAAATGCGAATAGTGCGTCCAAACGTAACGTGGAGCCCGTTTTATCACTTTCACCATCTCATGAAAAATCTCACCTTTTGTCGTCTCGTGAGGAAAAGGTAAAACACAGTAAGACTCTGAAAAGGTCAAATTCGACTTTTTCTGAAGATTACAAAACTCGGTCTCCCATGAAGCTGAATTTCAGAAATGGGAAAGTCGTGGATGCAACTGATGAAAGGAAAAATGATTTAAGGAGAAAATTATTCAAAAAGGCTGCTGCTGTTAGAAAGACTCGTGAGGAGGTTTCATCTGAAAAGGTTGTCTTAAAGCACCGGATTGAACAGGGGAAGAAGAAGGGTCATCAAGGTTTATTTAACAATGTTATCGAGCAAACTGCAAGTAAGCTCGTTAAGAGTAGGAAAAGTAAGGTTAAAGCTCTTGTGGGAGCTTTTGAATCTGTAATCTCCTTACAAGAGGGTAAAAATACTTCTCTCCAGACTGTGAGTCAAGTGGCCAGATAAATTCTGCTCGTTTTATTTTTCTGATGGCTTGATAATAGTTTTTTTTTTTTTATTAAAGAATTCAACTTTGAATAGACGAGTGTTATTTATATGTGATGATTTTGATATCTCTGTAAATGGGGATGAGTTATGCTTAGCTATTTTCTGCTTTTGATTAGAGTTCTGTATGCTCTGTTCAAATTTCTTGGCTGTATATTATTATTTACAAATGCAAATTTTGGCTTATTTTGTTTCCATCAACCATTTCAGAGAGAGAGAGAGAGAGAGCTAACTATAATGGTGAAATAAAGTGAATAATGCAATATTGGATGGCCAAGTAGACTTCAGAATAAAATTCATGCTCAGCATTTGTTGATTTAATTACACTAATGCATGTGATATTGTAAAACCACCACCCATATTATCTGAAAATCGCGCCTCAAGAGCAAAAATGGTATACAAAGCGCGTACATATGTGTCGAGCAGATTTCTAGTGATTCGGCTGACTGCTTTGCTCATCAACACGCTCGTGTTCAGTCTCTGCATCAAAATCCAATCCTTCAATCGTCATGCGCCCGATATTAACTGCAAAATCGTTTGTGCCCCTCAACTTATAGGACAATTCAAGTTTGCATTCAAAAAGTTAAAAGAAAATAAAACTTCCAACAAAAATGTCGTTATAAGCTTACCAACAGCATCCATCCCGACTAACTTAGGCATGAACTTCTGAAGATGGTCATCAGCTGCTTTCTCAGCTTTCAACGTTTCACATTCAAAGAAAACCGTAACCTTATTTTTCCCGTGCTTCTCCTCGACCATTCCCACCACATCTTTCTGCCACCTGTCTCCCAAAGTGAAATGCCTTAAAATAAGCTTATGTGGTTAGCTTATAAGCTTCTTGTATTCAAATAAGCTTCGTTTGGTAGGACAAGCTTTTTTAGAAAGCTCAAGCTTATATAATAAGCTTCTTTAGGTAGCTGCTTGCCAAATAAGCTCGTTGAAATTTTTTTTTCAGCTAGCTTATAGCTAATTTTACCAAACACTTTTATCATATAAGCTAGTTTTTCAGCTATAAGTCATAAGCTATAAACTATAAGCTCGAAATTCACTTAAAATCTATAAGCTAGCTTATCGGCTAGGTTTACCAAGCATAGCCCAAATCATGTAGGACTTCAAGAATAAAAATCCCATCTTGGAATTAAATGAACTTTCAAATACAATGAAAATAAGCGCCGAATTTCCAAGGCACGACTCGGCATATACATCTTTTCTTTAAAAAAAGAAAAAGAAAAATCAAATTAATTAATAGTTTACCCGTGAGCATGATCAGTGCTGCATATCTTAGCCGCATCATGTCCTCTGCATTCCACCACAATATCTCTTCCTTTCTTGCTCTGGTTAAGAAGTTAAAATCGGGCGTGTTACCATATATTAACTGAGTTTTACTTGTCTCAACAAGAAAATGAGACGATTGTGAGTTCTAAATGGCATATTAGAAACAGAGAAAGAAAATGGAACCGACACTAAAGTCTGTCACGGTGAGTTTGATCAAGCGGTAATCCTCACCTCGGCTGCACTCCCTTTCACATTCCAGCTCTTTCAATTTTTACCAAGAGAATAGGAAAAAATTCAAATGCATAAGAAAATCATAATGATGAAACTAACAAATTGTTCATAACACAAGCAAGCAAGCAAACACAAACTATTCATCACAACACATTACCGGAAGAAAGTCAATACATCAGTAAGCAAAAAATACACAATAAAATCATCAAGCTATGTAATAATTGTTCACTAGTGCAAGCAAAAAAATACAACAAAGCTTCACACACAATTCATCACAAAGCATCACCACAAGAAAGTCAATAGATCAGTATGCATGGGTAAAATCTAGAAAAGTTCAAATTGCTTAATAAAACCATCAAGTTATGTAACAGTTGTTCACAAGTACAAGCAAGCAAACACTGAAAGAATGTCACTATATCGGTACACAAAGGTAAAATCAAGCATGCACAATTTTGGTTCCAAACCTGTAAACATAGAGTGAAGCCCTAATAAGGCAATAAAGATAGGAGCAGCTATTTAGAAAAAACAAAAATAAAAAACCTTTCCTGCTGCGAAATTGAATCCGTAGTAAACCCAAAAAGTGAATCTCAAGAGACAATACAAAATACCAGCAACGAAGATGTATTCATAATAAACCCCAAGAAATGAATCTCAAAGAGACCATACAAGACAAAATATGAGAGAAAATATATAGAAACAACCCAACAGATGAAGCAAACGCTTACTTTATAAATACGATGCCAGCAAGAAAACATTGAACCTAAAAAATACTAATTTCATGACACTAAGGTAATACCGACTCCATGAAGGCCATAGCAGATGGAGTGAGGAAGCTGCACAAAATGGCCTGAAATGGAGCCACTGGGCAAAAGGGCTAAGGATGCAACACCCTCCATAACCTTTTCCGAATTTCCTCTCATTTTTTCACCTCCTTCTGCAAAAAAACAAGCGATGAAGCATCAATAGGTTGCATATTAAGCAAGATTTTAGAAAAATCATCAAAGATCACATTTTTATCACTCCAAATCGTAGTTTACTGCAAAAACACATATGTTGCAGTGGAATAGGATTTACCCATTTGCGCGTATGAGAAGCTCTTTTGTCCGTGCGGGTGCTTTGAAAGATATGAGCAGCCATTTAACTGTACAGGGTTTTTCTTGGTTTATCGAGCCTGGGATTTTTTTTAAAAAAAAAATCATTTTTCCTTTATGTATGGGTAAATAATAATTTGCAACATGTACTGTACGAATTTGGGATTTGCAATATAAAGAATTTTTTGTACTAAATTGCATTTTTTAATACACGATTTGTCTATATCGCAACCTCCGGCCATCGATGGCCCATTTTCCACCGGAAAAGCGAGTGTGCGATACACACGTACTAAATTTTGAGGGCAAAAATGTCATTTAATCCCTCTTCCTCCTTCCTCTTTCATCTTCTCTCTCACATCCCTCACACACATTCAAATTAAAAATTGAATTCCACGGCGTGATAATAGGGTTCCCCAATCGGGAGGCCCATGTAGTCATCATAGAGGCCCGTGAAATTTGCGCCTTTTGATGTGATAAGAAACACGAACCTGTCGACGGCGAAAGAGAAAAGGCACAAAATAGAGGCGGTGGAGCCAGCGGGAAGAACGGAGGCAACGGGAGGGAGGTGAAGTTCTTCTCCTTTGACAGGGCGATAGAGGCGGCGTTCAAGAAAGCGCCGCCGTAGGGAGTGATGCTGCTGGAAGGAAATATGGGGGCTGCGAGGAGAAGATGAACAGAGCAAAGAGAAATTTCGAACACATCTTGGAAATTTCAATTGCTTTCTTCTACAGATCTGATGCAATAATTTCGACAAATGATGAACAGAGCAAAGAGAAATTTCGAATACATCTTGAAAATTCGATTGCTTTCTTCTTCATATTTGAGGCAATAATATCGACAAATATGTCCAGATTGAAGTCGAATTTGACTGATGAAACTCTGCCAGCGATAAAATAGGGCTTCTTTTACCAGGCGCTGCGGCGGATGGCGATCCTGCGGTTCCCTTGATTTTGACTATATATGTGGAAGTGTGTGAGAGAGGTAGGATGAAAGAAGAAGGGTGAAGAGAGATGAAATGACATTTTTGCCCTCAAATTTGGCACGTGTGTATCGCACGCTTGCTTTTCCGGTGAAAAATGAATCTCCGATGGCCGGAGGTTGCGATGTAGACAAATCGTGTATTAAAGGCTGTAATTTAGTACAAAAAATTCTTTAGGTTGCAAACCCAAATTCGCGTATAGTACAGGTTGCAAATTATTATTTACCTTTTATATATTCTTAGTATTTCGGTTTGACTTACAGCACAGCGCTGTTGGCGTATATTTTTTCTTAATTTAATCATTGGTGATTTTTTTTTTCTCTTATCTCTACTAGTACTGCTACTTGTGTGATGCACGAGATATAGTATAAAAATATTTTATTTTTAAATATTATTAAATTGGTTTGGATAATATAAATTCTATAATAATATAATATTTATTTAAATATTTTCATTTTTATTTTTCCAATTTATTTTTTTAGGTATGAATTTTATTAGTTATTAGTTTATAAAATATCATAAAAGTGTAACGTCTAAAATATAATGATTGTATACAAATTACTTGCATGTACTTATAAAGTTATCGATTATAAATAATTTTATAACTTTTTTAGCAATTCATATTTTGCATATTGCTCGATAACTGACCAACAGTGAATTCATAAAATTATTTTTTCTTTATAATAGCTCTAATTGGATGAAATACTAATTTACGATAATTAACATTTAATTTTTAATAACTTTTATCTCTTGTGCAACAAAATTTGCTCATGGTAAATATTTGGTTTGAATTCAATATTATTTTTTATATTTATTTATTTATTTATTTTTCAACATATATAATAATTTAATTAATAAAAAATTTAAGAATTTTGATATATGATATATTTCAATGACTATCAAATGCTATAATTTCAATTATCACTTGACTATATAATTTTATTTGCTCATTATATTTATAAAATAGTATATAATAAAAACCTTGTTTTTTTAACAACTTGAGTAGTGTTTTGGATGTGTATAGATATTTTAATATAAAATTTATAATTCTTAATTTTACCCGACCATCAAAAGATAATTTATTATTATACAATTTAATTTTAAGTAGTATTATCAATACAAATGAGATAACTTAGAATTTTAATTTATTCATGGTTAAGTTGAACACATTTTATAAAATTGTACTAATATTTTGGATAATTTATTAAGTTAATATAATTCAAATATAATTATTTTATTATATATTTCAAGTGTTTTTCATTGATGAATACGAATCATCTCTACAACAATGAGATGATGGTAAATTAATCAAAAATATTTTTATAATTATAATGATTTTTTTTAAAATTATGTCAACAAAACTACTGTGAAACTTGTGTTATGGNTGTCATTTAGGGTAATATAGCTTGGTACAATTTATAGATATAGATATAGATTTTTATCAACCTATATATCATTTTAGTGATTACCAAATGCCACTTATGCTACTTGAGTGTAATTTTTATTTATTCTATTTATTAAAGATATATAATTAGAATTTTATTTTTATCATAAATGAATAACTTTTATTACATATGTGTGTTTAGGTGTATGTGTGTAAGTGTGTATTTATTTATATATTACTGTCGATTACTACTACATTTATATCTTTGGTTGCATTATTAAAACAATTAACAAAGATTTTCACGAATCTTTGAGACCAAATTTTAATTCAAGCAATAATTGATTTAAATCTTAACTATTTTCTGAATGGACTAATCAATTTTGGTTTTATTTAATAAACTAATGTCTTATAGTCATTGCAAATTTTTTTTTACAAATATAGTAAAATACATTAATCTATTATACAGATATAGATATAGATATAAATATGCATTAGTAAACACATATAAAAACAATATTTATAACAAAATTGTTTATCCAACATAAATTTGTACAAAATGTTACTTTTACTTGATAAATTGTTACATGTTACTTGATAAATATATGGCTATAGTTATATACACACACAAAAAATGAAAGGTGCTAATCATAAAAATATATGGCTATAGTTATATACACACTTAAACCGACATGTTTTTTGGAGATTTATCACGTGGCATACTTCCTAATATGAATAGTTAATTAATTATTATGCGATATACTATTTTTCAAATTGCTATTTGAATATTTAATTAATTATTATATGTTATCTAAATATATAGTAATGAAATGAGTTCCAATTATTATATTTCAAATTGCTATTTGAATATTTAATTAATTATTATATGTTATCTAATCATATAGTATGAAATGAATTCCAATTATTATATGTTGTCTAATTATAGAGTGTAATATGTTGTATGTAGAATGTTTTATTTAATAAATGCAATCCAGCAGATGAGAAATAAATGTAGAATGTTTCTTGAATACTCGTACAAATTTTTTGAAGTAACCTAGATTTGGAAAAGTGATGATGATCTTTCGAAAACATATTACAAAGTTGCAAGAAAATAGAACTGGGTGACATGTCACCAAATTGAAAGAAAAAATTAATACATTTATTTTGATAATTTTTATCTGTATAAATTATTAACATTTAATTAATTTTAGTACAACTTTAAAATTGAATATACCAATAATAACAATAATAATAATAATAATAATAATAATAATAATGTGTAGGTAGAATTGAAAAGTTATAAAACTCGATAAGAAAGTGAATATTTTAAGAATATTTTTTTGATTTAAAAACGAGTTTAGTAGTTTATGAATAAATATTATTTGATGTAATAGTTACTCAAATGCTTTATATCTGCTTATTAACATCAATTTTCCCCGACCGTTTCAAATAAAAATTTACAAATATAAAAATGCATCTACATTCGTTTTGTATAAAATTTATACTATTATACTATATTACATAAAAATATTTTAATTTTAAGGGCAAATCTTTTTTTCTTTTAATCCAGAATTTGCTTCTCTCTCGGATCAAGAATGATCTAACAACATCCGTACTGTCACAATTAAAAGTAACAATAAGAAAGAAAAATCCAACATTGCTGGGCTAGTTTGAGGCTACAAAACTGCAAGCAAAAGAGGAGTCCAAAAGATACCAAACTACATTTATGATGAAAGAATAATAATCTGCACAAGAATTTTATGTCCCAACATACAAGAAGAAATCCCTGACATACAGTTTATGTTCCTGTAATAAACACCAAAATCTACCGACTCGAATCGCCATAAACACATAAGAATCAACCAAACACGAACAACCGAAAAATCGCAATAAATTCTGACTAGGAAAAAAAAGGGTCAAAAAAACAAAAGGGAAAAAAGAATCATCTATATGACTAAGAGGCCCAGTTACGGAAGCCTTACAGTGGACCTTCATCCTACCTCCATCCTCTCGTGCACCAGATATTCCTTCCGAACGCTTTATATATCATTTATTTTCTTTCTAAGCACTACGCCATAANCCAAAAAAAAAAAAGAAAGAAAAGAAAAGAGAAGAAAAACAATTAAGTCCTTGAATAGATGAACGAATGCTACTTTACATACGAAAAAAGAATGAATCCCATTACATGGCCAACCTAGCCATGTAGCTCCTTCCTTCCAAAACCGGGCCCCACACATCATATTTCGTATTTTTTTTCAAATTCTCATGTCCTCCTCACTTTATCATCGAATGTTGATAAAATATTACCTTCCTCCGAAAAAGATAACTTTGAGCATAACCTGTTATACTTTTCCTCCCATTCGAGTGTGTCGGCTAATTGCTACTCCAAGATGTGGCAATTCCTTACAAAGTCACTCGAGTAGTTTACATATTTGGTCCAGAACGGCCTCAGATGCTCGAAACCAATCTCTAACCACGGTTTGGATTGACCATTGTAGTGAATCACAGCTGCCTTCTTCACGTTTTCAATGCTCGTCTTATTCTGATAGCCCAAACCAAGCATGTGCCACGAGGGATCTATAGGGTGAACGTGGCCTTTAAATGCTATTAAAGCTGGAGGTAGAGTCCCGAGCTTCCATAATGTGAGGTTTGACTTCAGATTCTGCAATAAATATGAAATACACACCGCCAAGTAAGAAAAGATCTTTGTCTTTTATCTTCCGTTGGCTAAAAAAAAAAAAAATCCATTTGCGATTGAAAAACTAGGGAAAGCAGACAAGAAATTGATTTTGGAGGGAAATGTTCATTTTACCTCCTTGAGCCAAGAGTGATAAGTATCTCTAATATTTGTCTTTCGCCATGCCTGCAAGTCGAATATATTCATCCCATATGCCCATGCACATTCATCAGGATTCAAGTTTTTCGATATAAGTGGGTGAGAGAAGTTGAAATAGGTCCTGAATCTCTTGGACATAACCCACTCATCTTCACCTCTGCAAGTCTCGACAGCTCCATTTACTTTTCCGTTAAGGTCAATCTCCCAGAGAGGAGACAAATCTCGTTGGATTACCACATCATCGTCTAGGAAAACCACTTTTTCAAGATTTGGGAATAGCTGCAAAATATAGAACAATACTATTCTCAGCAAATTTTTATTCCAGATATAAATTCACGTGCACATGCCCACAAACAATATTACACTTCAGAGGACAAGCCACAATCATTCAGGTAATGCTTGAAGCATACTCTTAAAATATTCAGAAGGTCATATCCATTAAATCATGGTACAGTCTTACACAACAAAGAGTCTCATTCAAGAACCTCAAATCTAACTGTGGTCCAAAGAGGTTTGCCTTGAAAAATCATTCGCCCACAGATAAAAGATAACAAAATAATGTGATTTCAGAATTAAAACCAAAATGAAGATGTACCTCAGGAAGATATATACGAAGATGGTTGAGCAACGAGATATACTTTGGACTCCTAGCCTGCAATTTGGAGGCAAATGTTCGTGGGGTTGTATCACTTAGATTGGCCCCGGCAATGTGATTCCCATGGTAATAATTCCTAATCCCATAATGGCTCTCTACGGCTTCAAGGACCGGAACATTCTCTCTTGTTAACCAATCAAATTGATGCACACCTTTCACCTCAACTATAGCAGGAGGTACAGGATGCAGGGCAAACCATGAATGCATGCCTGCATAAGTTTTCTTGTCAGTTATGACATGGAAAACAATCTTTTCAGGGGCGGCGGATGACAGAACAGCTGATGTCACTACAACTGAAGCCGCAAGAATGTTGTCCGTTGACAACACAAAATGATGGTAGGAGTTATCAGAAAGCAAAGGAAGAAACTCTGGAGAAGGAAGCTGCTTGCGTGCGTGGGCATTGGAAGAATATTCATCAGTTAATCTCAATGAGAGACAGTGAATGCCCTTCGGGATTGCACTAGCTGCAAAATGTTTATTCATTAGCTCAGAGAACTTGGACTCCCTGATTTCCCTTTCTGACCTCTCCATCTGTCAGAGAGAATGATGAAATAGAAAAAGAACATTGATTATCCAAAGTGATAAACATTTAAGAAGAAATATAACTGTCATGGATCGACAAAAAAAAAAAAAAGAATTGGATGCCAAAGCTCAATTAGGAAGCTGCAGAAAGATGAAAAAAAAATGTAGGCCATATTTAGATTTTAATTGTCCCAGTACGAATACGTGTTAATTGTATTAAGTATCATACCATTCAGGATAACTTAACTGAAACGTGACTGTATATTGGGCTCCAACTAAACATATTGCTGTACACCAAAAAGGTGTGTTGGTAAATAGAAAATTTCAAATGTACTATATTTTGTCAAGCACTCAAGTTAACATCACATTCGGGAAGGTTTGTATTCTGGTTGGCCATTAAAACATAATTGTGTAACCAAAACCCTTCTTCAATTCCAGATAGTGCAGCAACCACATCACCACATGCAGAAAACTAAGGTGTATTTATTTTTATTTTTTTTTTTCGATTTCAGCTAACAATTCTTATTATGTAACAAATCTCAAATAAAAACATAAATTCTGAGCCATAGCAATCCCTGTTGTCAGTGACTCCTCAACATGAAACTTTGGTGGATTCAAGAACAAAAATCTAAAGTAATCCACCAACTACATGAAACAAATAACAATAAACTAATTATTGCGAAATAAAACCAACATCTACGCAAGAAGATATGACAAGACTTAAAATCTGAAATTCTAAGTCACATAGCAAGGGCTTACAAGAAAATATTTTCTTCCTTATTATTCTCTGTAGTAAAAATGTAAACACCAAAACATGGCCGAATCATAAAAGTTCAACCAAACAGTGAAAAAAGAAACTACTCATGTCTCATCTCTTTCAAGTTTTTTTGGCAAAACACATTTGTATGGAAACTGAAAGTCACAGCTAGTATACATTTGTGAGAAATAGAAAACAAATATTTCTCACAAAGCACAGACTGAAAATATATACAAACAATACTGCCACACAAGGCCAGTAAAAGAAATATTTCTCACAATCTACGAGCAAAAAAAAAAAATATGAACAATACTGTTGCACAATGCCAGTGAAAGAGAATCATACATAAGTAAAAATATGAAGACTGAAGTAGCTAGGGAAAAACACATACCATTCCTTTTAAAATTAGAGCAAACTCCTTTGAACTGTACTTATTGTTTTTCATATCAGAAACAAGCTGATTAAAAGAGTCCGGGAGCTTCAGGCCATCAGGGACTTTCTCAGAGTTTGCTTGATTCAGGATCTTAACAAAGTCCTTGACCAGCCTCTGCCATAACAAATAACAATAATAATGTTTTGGCGTGTTCCTTATAACGAATCATTGTCATAAATGAGCATTTAGATAAATGTCTTGAATAATCAATCAATAAAAGAAAACTATCAAATAGAATTACAACAATTTTACCCCAGAATCGTCGCTTCTACCAAGAAACTTTGGACCCAATCGTCGTCCTAAGCAATCTGAAACAACAAAAATTAAAAGTTCAACACATTTTTCAAGAAGCGACCCAATAACTTCCTGAAATAGAAACTAAGCAATACAGATCAACGCCTTGATGAAGGAACGATAACGGTTCATAAAGGCTACAAAAGAAAAGCAACGGCCAGGGTGTATAGTAAAAGGGTAACAAAACGATGGATGGATACTAACATAAACTTTGATCAGCAAATTCTGAATAAGAAACATGATACAGAACCTTTTCCTTTATTTTCTTGATTCATGCCATAGTCTCTACATCTACCAGTAAGTTTCTATTGCAGCTGATCAATCATAAGACAAGGTATTGGACCCAGTACGAACGAATCACAATTAAGACCCCATATCAATCTATACAACTTAACAAAAAGGAGTAACAAACAATATTCAACACAACTNAAAGTACCTATCGAGGAGCACTTGTTGACACCTTCAAGGGTGACAAGGGCGGTCAGAATGAACACAAACGGCAACAAAAAGGCAAGGATCAGGATAGTGTGGAACAACGTGCGGTACGAAATGTGACGAGCTGCGACCTTGATCTTCATCAAATCTCCGCCTCCATTGCAAATTCCTCCACTGCTGCTCGACGATATCGTTATACTTCTCATGCTAGGTGAGAAGTGCAGCTGCATCTTCCCCCTCCGCCACAGCTAACCTCCGACAATTCAACAAATCACCACCGACGCCGCCGCCGACAGCACAGCTGCCAATAATATCAACGCCGATCGCCACCGCCAAATCCAGGTCCCAAAACCAATTCCTACAAAACGAACACGCAATACTCAACATCAAATCCGCCGCCGCGGCTATCCCAACGATCCGGAGATCCTCCGCCCCAGCTGCCAGCACCGCCGCTTGGGGAATCCCTCCAAAAAGAACAACCGGCTGAGCTAGGTTTTCAATGGCTCGCTCGATGCAGAAATTTTTCTCAGCGAAATCAACGAATGAATAGTATGAATGTGAAGATCAATTTCGCCGATTCATGTCCGGCGATTGAATCTCTGTCTATGTGGATCGAAGGTCGGACGAGTGGATGTAAGAGAGAGAAACTAATTTTTATTTTTATTTTTTCACTTGTCTGATCGAAAATAGAAAAAGAAATTCAATGACAATAATAAATAATAAAATAGGCAATGATTTATTAGTTTTAAATAATTGCAAGTAGTGACATAATAGGAGTAATGTTCTTCGGTCACAGCTCAAAAACGTGTTGTGCTGGAAAGAGGGGAAATTGGAAAAACCAGATTTGACTTGTTTTTCCTAATTTATCGTAGAATAAAAAAGGTGCTTTTTTTTTTTTTTTTTTTTTTTACGACNAAATACAATAAAACTCTCGTTAATATTATCAATATAATTAAATAATATTAATTTATAATTCTCACATATCTTTAAGTTCAAGTAGATGTATTGGTTTAGGAATTTCTAAAAGCTTTTTAAAAAATAAAATTTAGTGTATTTAATTTAGACTTCTAACGTTAAGAGATGTATTAGTTTGTGATTTCTACAAACTTTTTAACGTTTAGAATCCTAGTGTATTTAATTTAAATTTTTAAAAGTCTTAAGACATATAATTTTTAGTGAATTTAATTTATATATTAGTTTGTGGTTTCTACATACTTTTTAAAGGTTATAAATTCCGGTGTATTTAAATAAGACTTTTAAAAGTCTTAAGGTATTCACTGAGATTCTTAAAAAATTCTGAGTTATTTTATTTATTTGAGAGTATAATTCATAAATAAACAAAATCTTGAGTCATTTAACTTATTTTGGAGTATAATTTGTTAAAACTTTTAAGACTTGTTGGAATTTCAACATAAAATACCATACATGAAATTCTACCTCCAAACTTAAGATTTCACATAATTTCTCATAAATCTAAAAATCATGAAAAATCTCAAATATCAAAAAATTTCAAAATGTCACACAAAATCCCAAACGAATACACACTATTCGTCCACTCACACATTTTTTATTTCTCATCACTTTATGTCAATTATCTCATACTTTTACATCAAATTAATTGTAATCATTTTGTTTTAATATAAACTCAAAAGCACACCAAACATAACCAAACAAACTTTTTTCAAAATTAATTTTGATTAACCGAAAAAATTAATCAAAAATCAACTTGATTTATATCCCAATAACTAAATATAAAATTAGATTGTGAGGAATTAGATATAAGTTTTTTTCTCAAATTTATTTCGTTGAATTAACTTTTTCAACGATTTATAATTTAATATGTATTTTTTGAACCATTATTTATCTATTTATAGTTTTTTCTCCTTAATTTCATCACTATATTAGTCCACGATTTTTACAAAGAAATATTATTTATCTATTTAGATATTTTTAATTATTAATTATTTTACTATTTATCTATATGAAATTATAAACTTTTGAACCCCGCACTGCANAAAAAGGGGCAATAGCGAGTTTTTTGTTCATTTTATTATGGCTATTAAATTGAAGGCAATATTCATCAAGAGCTTCCAGACTTTTCATCATGTGCCACGTGGAACACATTGCCAAATAGTCAAATACACACACGCGAAGCACACGGTCAAACCTCAACAAATGAGCCACACGCTCTAACTTCACAGTGCAAACAAATCCTAATTTTCAGCCAATCTAAGATGAAATCAAGTTCCAAGTCATGCTCATAAATTATTTCAAAATATGATGATATTTCAATTTAAAAAGGTATATATTAGTTTTATGTTGTTCTTTTAAGTATGACATTTTTAAAAAAGATATATATTAGTTGAAATAATACAACCAATGTTTTAAAGATATGTATATACCTGGTATTACCAGAAATACCGAATACTGATGGTCCAATCGATATGGTTACCTTAAAATACCGTTTTGGCCAAAATACCAGCTTCATACCGAAAAATACCGGTTTTACAGAACAATACCGGCCAAAATATCGGTTAAAATACCGGGCATACCAATTTTTTTTTAAAAAAATTTATAACATATTTTTATTATTTTATTTATATAAATAGAAAGTTCTACACATAATTGTAATATATTTACATTGTTATTAGATTTTATTTAATTTTAGTATTTATTATAGTTAGTTTTATACATTATTTAAAATATAATAATAGATTAATTTAATATTTATTAAAACAAGTAAATTAGACGATACAACCGATTGAACCGCGTATCGGTGACTCGTCCGATATGATCAGCGGTACGGTATTTAAAACATTAAGTATAACTATTTGACTAACACATCATTAACACATTTAATCAGTTATATAATTATATATATTATATATGAAACCACCTAAACCCTAAACCCTAAACCCTAAAATGTATATATTGATTAAATCATTTTACCTTGAAAACACAACAAAACCTCCTTAGCATGGCCATCTTCAAAGTACCTGCTAATATGGAGCTCCAAAAAACTACACTTTTACCTTGCATTTTCACAAATACCCTTTTGTTGCGCGCAGATAATTACCCACAATAACACAAAGCTGCCCAAAGAACAGTGCCTCTACAACAAGTAAAGCATAAAAAAAAAATTAAAGAACTTTAGGAATTAGGACCCTTTCAATGTTCGAACATTTTTCTCTCTATCAGAGAAAAAGAAAACACGAATAATAACCAAGACACAAAAACCACTAATGAAAATCCATGGCAATTCAATGACAATCAAAGAAAATAACATAAAACATAAGGCTCACCACTTAGAGTTGATGACATTGNTGAGGCAAAGCAATCCACAACAGTTTGAAGTTCTACTATCAGTCTTATCCTCTCAACAACCAACAGTAAACATACAAATCAAAAGCACAACAACACACCAATGCCGCAAATTTTCTCCTCAGTAATGCGAGTGACTATAAATCAAGAGTCGATTTCTTCCTCTTGTCAATAAAGTCAGCTCTTTTTTCCATCTTTAAAGGCAACGGAGCTGAAAATTCGATACCATCATCTTCACCTTGATTATACATCTTCCTCTGCATAATACCTTCATTCCTAACATTTTCCAAGTGAGCTTCCACTTCATCTTCTTCACCATCATCATCCTCCTTAGATGAAACCTCATTTTCTTCAACTTCTCGACAAACATCTCCATTCTCAAAATCTCTTCTAACCAGACTAACGCTATCACCATCATCATCATCATCATCATCATCATCATCATCCTCATCTAGAATGGGGTTCGAATTTCCCTTCAGCACCCTGCAAACTTTCCCATCATCGGCAAAACTCACACTTTTTTTCACTTTGGGTCGAGCCCTATAAAATTGATTAGCTAAATTCATGTTATTTCTGCCAGAAACAGAATGCTGTTTCACAAAGTCATCAGGGCCATCAATAACACTAATTTCCTCACCCTCATCAAGCTCCTCTTTTATTTTATCAATTCTTTCAACAAGCCCCCTCAATTTCTCCATGGCAACAGTTTTCGCACCCCCGGATTTCAAATTGCCCATTTCTCTTTCACCATTGGGAACCCTAATTCTTGAATTACTCTTTTTGTATCTCATGTTTACTCCACTCGAAGAGCTCACCCGCTCGACATAAAATCTGTCCATGAAATCCAAAAATTTAACTAATTCTCTCTTCACCAAATATTTCCCATCTCGAATCATTGGATCACCACCCTTCAAATTATAATCGCCAACAAAACAAAACATCAGATCTGCATTTTTAAATTTGAAAATGCACATGTACAGAAGTAAATCAATAAACTTAAATTGAAAAATGTACAGTGCGTTCAGAGCAAGACTTCATTCATTTACCTGAACGGTATCAAGTTTTCGAGCCAACTCCATGGCCTGGTGATACATTAAGTCGTAATCGAACTGGATTTGCTTGGTGACTGACGATTTGAGAATGGCGAGCGCAGACTTGATGGAAGCGAGGTCCTTGAGCTGCCGGAGAGTCCTCGATCTGCGTAAAAGGAAGGCTCGAAAGTGAGCCTGGATTGTGCGAGCAGCAGCGTCGCGGAGGGAGTACGACGAGGAGGAGGTGCTGCCGCGGAGGGCGGACTCCAGGACGGAGATGCGGCGGAGGAGGGAGGCGATGGTGTGTTGAGTCTCTCTCTCCTCATCGTAATAACCCTCTCGAAAACTGGGTCGGTGCTGATGGGAATCGGAGATTGGGGTTGGGGCGGGATAGAGGTGGGGTTGTGGCGGATGGTGGTAAATTGGGTTGCAATCAGGCGGCGGAGGCAGCGGGGGATGGTGGTGGCACGGCGGGTAGGGAGGGCAACAGCAGCAGAAGGTCGCGGCGGTGGGGTGGTGGCGGAGGTGGTGGTGGTGCGAGGCCATTTTTGGTTTATCTGCCGGAATCTCTACTGCGGTCACGGGTTTGATGGGTTCGTGCTATGTTTCGATATTGCCGTTATTAATTAAATTAATGATAAATCTATCTATCATTGTATAAAAAGAATAACATTTTTACAAATTTCAAAATTTTTTTCTGCCAAAATTATTAAATATATCCTACATATAGTAATTGTTGGACAAATCTGAATAGGCAAAAAAATCGGCTCATTAATTGTGTAAAGATTTGTTTCTCTTTTGCAAAAAAAATTGACTCATTAATTGTGTAAAGATTGTTTCTCTTTTTTCTGTTTTTTAGTTTATCAAAACCGTTGTTTGACAATAAATATTTTTTTTTCTTTTTTCTATTTTTAGTATAAATCTACACGAGCTTATCTCTTATGTTATAAAATCTCATTGCATATTAAAAAATCTCATCCCTTATCTATACAAATTTGAAAAAAATAAAATAAAATAGAAACCAATTCATAATTACTACTAGAAATTCATTATATTTAGAAAAAAAAATAAAATAAAATAGAAACCAATTCATAATTACTACTAAAAATCCATTATCTACTTTAAGAAGCTAATTTTCACCGGTCTAATTACTAATATTTTTACAAATATTATAAGCTAACCATACAATAATAATTTTGAAATGGTGTGTAATCAAATTTTTATATTCTCTTATACAAAATAATTTTACATTGTTTGACCCCGAATCTTTAATTTATAATTATTAAGTATTGTTTATCCTCCTCTTTAATTTATAATTATTTTTTTTTCTTTCTCTTTTTAAATAGGATCAATAGTAGTTTCCACTTCCGCCATTGAGCGACTCCAACTCGAGGTCTATTTATAATATTGTTAATTTAATATTGTTCTCGTGCATCGCACGGGGTACATACTAGTTGTATATTAAATACAAACCTTTA